ACATCTTGGATGGTGGTACCTGAATCCACTGCTTGAGAAGACATAACTTGCACCAACAGCATTTAAAAAGTCATAACGATTAGCTTTGCTATTATAAGCACCATGATGACTCAGCCTGTAGATGTGAGAACGAAGACTATCTTTTACTCCCTTTAGCTTGAGAAAGTTTTTCATTTCTTTCTGAGGTAGTTCAAAGTCCCCAGCGATTAGTATAGACCTACCAGCATAAGTTATCTTGGCAATGAGAGAATCAGCATTGTTAGCTCTATGACCAGTACACTTTCCAACAGCAGAAGCAACAAAAAATAGTGTGACACCAAATTTAGGTTTATAACGAGGACAAAGGTCAAGTTTCTTTGAACACTGCTTAATACTCATGCAGCGTGGTATTTCCTTATGGTTGGTATATTCCTTGGATATATGTTTGGTATAATGCTTGTTCCACTCACAGGAATGATAAATAGGAACTTTCTTATTGTTATAAAAGTTCAATATACCATTCATGTATTTGAGGTGGTCAGCATCAGAGTGGGTAAGGACTGCAAGACGAAGTTCAGTCCCTTTAAGAAAGTCCTCAATGTCCTTTCCTTTCATACCTAGCTTCTCTGTACTGGACCCAGCATCAATAATAGTGACTGTTCCTTTAGGAGGATCACCTTGACCTCTAGGACACTGTATCACAGTACAGTCTCCCTGACCCACTGGTAGGGCGTAGATGTGAAGCTCATCATCAGCATCAGGTATTGGCTCTATTGAAACTGTTACTTTGAGCAACAAAGAAAGAATGATGATGGAATTCTGCATTACCAAAAGAGAAGAAACGAGAGAGAGAGAGGGAGAGGGAGGATCACTGCAGTAAAGACTGGTTGATATTCTTTCCTATAAGACAGTGTAGTATCAGGTTCCATACAGCACCTGATTCATGAGGTACCTCCCTTTACCTCTTCACTTCCTATTATCACATTATACTCATTCCTTATATTTTATTAACCATCACCTTCTTCATTCCTCATATTCTGTTACTAATTCCTCCACACACACTCACTATACAAGAGGAAACCATACATTGTATACATTGAATGTATGAAACATACATTGTTCACCTTATTCAAGTTGAACTGTCAGTATAAGTCCTTATAACATTGCTATACCTGCTTGCTCTGAATAAGGTCATTAGGGACATCAATACAAAGATATGTAACCTGGTGAACCAACACTAGCCAATAGATTGTTGGGTAGGAAGGTAGCATAGACTGGGAGGGGGAGGTACATGTGCATCAGTTACTTGTGCATGAGGTTGAAGGATATAAAGGAGATGATTGGTAACCTATACACTCATGACAATAGAATCTAATGCTAATGCAACATAAACTATAATATACTAATACACTATAGAGCTATATCAGCATAATTATTACAAGAATGTACTCTTGATAATAGATACAATGTAGGTCAGATAATAATAGCAAATTAACACAACATTGGAGTAACTATCAAATAACTGATAACAAGAAATGAACTGATACGACACTGTGGCAATCCCCTTTACCATTATCTGGTAAAATGGCAACCTCTGAGGGCCCTACTGAAGTCAATACTTCTATTCAATCAGATGAACAAGATACTGAACAGGGACCTACTGAAATCAGTGCTTCTATTCAAGAAGTTAAAGAAGACAACCTTGATTTTAACGAATCACAAGAGAAGAAAACAGAAGCAGCAAAAAAAAGATTGAGCCAAAGAAGAGAGCCAGTCAATATGTTAGTGATTGGTCCAACTGGAGCTGGTAAATCAACACTCATCAATGCTTTACTGGGAGACACTGTAGCAGAAGTTGGTCATGGAGCAGGATCAGTTCAGTCTGAAGTTAAAGTGCATGAAGGAGAACATGAAGGAATACAGTTAAAGGTCTACGATACTACTGGGTTCAGTGATACAAGAGGGAAGAGTGGCAATAGCATTGTCAAAGAGATTGCTGAAGCTAAAAAGTTTGATCTGATACTGATCTGTATCAGAATGGATAGCAGAGCAGATGAAAAAGTTAAAGATATGTTCAGAGTTCTTGCAGCTAACATAAAAAAGGAAATGTGGGATAGATCAGTAATTGTACTGACATTTGCAAATGCATTCCTTCAGCTAAAAAATATTAAGAAAGAACTCAACAAAGAAGA